GTGTGCGTTTGTTTGTTTGTATGCGTGTGTGTGTGCATGTGTTTGTTTGTATTCGCGTGTGTGTGTGTGTGTGCTAATTATTATTGAAATATCAGTTGCTTGTAGGGTTCAGGGGATCTCGTAGCGAGCAGTCTCGACTAGAGCTTTCTTACTTGTTTTCTAATTGTAGTTTTTGAACGATACTCGTCAACTCTTATTATTCATTGATTATTGGGATTCTTATCAAGTTGCTTGTTAAGCAATGCTAAATTATATTATATAGCAAATATATATATTATATACAAATTATATATATCGAATATTGGAATAATTATTACTCATATCTTATGAGTAATAAGAGTAAATAACTCCAGTGTGCGGACATATTTCTAGTCTACGTAATTGGATTTATAACTTTAAAGCGGGCAGAAGTCGAGTGTGCGCATCATAAAAGATGTGTGGATATATGGTTTTCTGCATGTTATTGCTGGATGTGCTGACGCAAAAGCGTTTGGTTGAAGGTGAGAAAATTAGATATCAGGTACCAAATTTGTATACTGACAAGAATTGGGAGTAGCATTTAACTTTAGAACCCGATTGGAGTATAAGCAAGTTGATATTGTACCAGCAGAACATCATGCACAGCTAAGGCCCTTCGAGCAGATCGGTCGTAACTTTTATTACATTGGCAACGACGAGCTTAATTGGTTTCAAGCGGTGCAAGAGTGCCGCAAAAGGGGTGGCAATCCCATTAGTTTGAAAACAAATCAGGAGTTATTAAATCTGGGACTACATCTGAACGCAAGTCACGAATATTGGGTGGACATCAACCGGCTGGGCCAGGAGGAATATGTTTCGATAGCAACCGGATTAAGACCCAATTATATCAATTTTCTCGTTAAGGATGCGAATGAGCTGAACGACTCCAATAATACAAAAGAACATTTAAGTTGTGTGACCTTGTTTAAGGGTTACGAAGATAGTTTTGTGATGAAAGAGGCGAACTGCATGGAAAAATCTAAATTCGTTTGCCAACTATCGTCACCGCGAACCATTTCTATTGTGGTCTGGTAACATTTATATATGTATGTATACCTAATATATGTATGTTTCAAATATTGTATAATCTTAATATAATAAAATTCCATTTTTATACAATTATATTTAACCAGACAATATAATCCATCTAATGTTTTTGATCAATCTTATTATTTATATTATACTCTAAACATATATTTAATTTTATTCAAAACATGTTTCTTACTCAATTTATACAAGCGAGCATAAGATTACTGTCAAAGTATGGAAATTAGCCTCACTCAAATCCTTCCATCTTTTTGCTGAGTTCGATCATTTACCGGTTGTCTTCTAAATTCGAGCAGCTCTTTGGGCTTAGTAGTCCATGACATAAAATATTCCCTTTTCAATTGTTGCCAAGCTAATTGATAATCTTTTGACAAGGCTTTTACCTCGGAGTAACTCAAGTTTTTAATTTCTTCCACCCTCAGGCCCAGCTTTTCACGCACTTCTGAGCAGCCTGATAGCAATTCCATAAAGTTTATGAATAATTTATATTTACTTACTTCTAACGCGGCTTGCGTTGTGTTTAGCCTCTGTTTGGTGACACCCTGACGCTTTCCATTTACTGCAATCTCAAATGGTCTATATTTATGAATATATTTATGAATATATATAAATATATATGTATTGTAAACATATTAAATAATAATCGAAGACTTCACCTTATCAAATCTGGCACCAGCGCCCATATCAAACTGCTAGGCGCTGGCTGCCAATCCATGCGCTGCGCCAGTTCAAAGGTTAAATTCTTATCTACACGTATGCAGGGCTGCTGCGGTTGATATCGTTTCAAATTGCACTCTCTGCCCTGCCAGCGACGGTAAATGGCACGTTCCAGGCTCTCAGGATTTGCCTCGGTACAGCAAAAGTTGTAGCTACTAAAGTATATAGGTTTGTCTAACAGCATGTCGAGCAGCGCGCCTTGAACTCCGAGCACATTCCAACGTGCCAATTTGTCGCTGCATGACATAGATAAAGTGCGTTCGCCTCTACCCGGTTTCGTCCGCAGCTCTGCTGGTGTTTGCAACATGTTATCAGAGAGGGGAGTAGTCGGTTGATTTAATAGTTTAGCACCCGTGTATACCGAAGGGTTATTTATTAGTGGCTGCGCAGTCTCTAAGTCTAAACGCGATCGTTTTGCTGGAACTCCACTTAAGCGTGTAGCGTCAGCAATAATGCATGCATCGCCACACGGCGTTTGAGTGCTTAAAAAATGATACTTCAGCTTTTCGTTGAGCGCAAAGCAACCTGTTGCTGACTGCCAGATAAAAACGGACTGGTCCTCATCTCGCGTTTGAGACATTGCATTCGAGAGCTCGTTTTGCAAATAACGTAAGAAGGCGCGACGGGCTAACACCTCAGCATGACAATCATTGAGTATATAGCCTCTATTACAAAGTCTACTTGGGCCGATACACCTAGTACTAATGAAATCTGTATAAATATAAACAAATAATCATATTTCTTCAATTCGTACCAACCCTGTAGCAAGAGCAACAACTTTGCCGGCTTGTGCAACTCTGTCATACTGCACTATGCCAGCTAAAACTGTCCATTGGTTGTTTACGGGCTTCCCAGTTTGTGGCAAATCACGAAATTTGTTATAACACAATTCCGCAATTTCTTTTAGTGAAGGTTCAATCTTAGAGCTCATGTAAACCACTTGCTAACAAGAATATACATACATACGTAAAGCAACATCAACAAATTAACAATGTGGTAAAGTTATCGATAGCTATCGGGAAATATAGATGTATTTATCCAACACTGCACATTAAAATTGGCTGGCGTTCTGACCAAAATATATGTAAATATTGCTGAAAGTACATTTTGTTGTTTAAATAATAGAAAAGCAATATGCCGAAAGTTGTATCACGTAGCATTGTCTGCTCAGATACAAAAGATCAAGAGGAATATAACGAAGAGAAACCGTTAAACATATACTATTGTTTGTGTAGCAAAATGTCGCTCATTTTGGGTTCGTAATAATGTGTTATTGCGTGAATAAATGTTTATATTAAATATACAAATGTTTTGATAGATTGCACATTAGAACAGTTGCCGTTGCGCGAGGCGGATAATGCTCGTGTTATTGATGCCAATGCACACGCTAATAAGCTGACATACAACCCAGCGCCTAAGATGATCTACATACGACGCAAAGGAAAGGGCATTGAAAAGCAGTACCGTTATAATGTATGTACATATATACATATGTAAATAATAATACATAAGACAAGCACAGTAAAAATTGCCAATGAGAGAATAACTACATAGGTCTTGAGTGTGACACTCGTAGTCCCTGAAGTCTATGTATGTAAATATAACACTCGTAATTTTTTGATCCACTCAAAAAAGCTTTTACCTATAGGATAGGACGCATTACATATAAACGTAATATACTTTCTAGTGTCGCAACTGTAATCTGCCATTGTACTATCGCCATAATTCCGACTCCCACGTGACCTTTGTCATGAGCAATGCCTTGCATAAGAATAAAGGAGAAAAACCACTGGCGCAGCTCCTCGCAGCGGAGGCAAAAGCCAAGGCAGGTAACAACAAAAACTGCATCAGCAATATTAGCATAGCCCATGTGGCGACGACACCAACAGTTGCTCCCAGCGGTGAGAATTCCGGCATTTTGGATGACAGTGGCAAAAAAGTTATGGTCACGCGGCACACCAAGAATATGGGCAAATTTAGCTCGGTAACCGTATCCACAATAGACGAGGAAGAGGATGAAATTGAGGCGGTAAGCAAAATAATTTATGAGAAATTGTTGTGCAATATATTTAATTGATATTTATTACAGCGTGAGATCGCCGATAGCTATGCAAACAACGCCCGTATTATTGAGAAGCAGCTACAACGCAAAGGAGGCAAACTGGCGGACCTAGGTGCGAAGGCCAAGACCGAAGAAATCCTGCCTCCACAGAAAAAGCAACGAGGCACGCTGCTAGAGAGATAATTCGTATTAATAGTGAAAGTCCATACTAATAATTAATATCTACAGATAATAAAAGTAATATTATCCATAGAATGAAATACCAATCAATCGGTATATTGCGACTTAACATTAATCCTCAATATGAGACGCACCTACGAGCGACCCTGAAATTACAAATCTGTAGAAGATACACCTTTTCCGCTTGTCTAATTTTTATATCCTGAACTCATTTTCAATGGGAAATTAGGGTATAATGGTTTTGTTAAAAGTATGTAACAGACATAAAGAAGCGTGGCGAAGCGCAGTCGCTGCTTACTGCGCAGTTAGCAGAGTACGTACATATGTACATATGTATGTGTGCATAAAAGTGCAGAATGATTAAACTATCATATTGTAGGGCTTAGGGTAACTCCTAGTCGAGCAGTCTCCTTGCATATTTAACGTACTGCTTTCTAGGGCAGTCTAAAGTCTTCTTTTAAAGTCTGAACTTTATTCGCTCTTTCGGCATTGAACTTATTTAAATAATATTGAGACCAAGTAGCCCAGTACTTGTCAAGACTTGAATTCGAAGACATCGACATATCAGCAAACGATCTATAAAATGTGTTGCAATATTAGGATAATATTACTTATGCTATGGTTGGCATTTTGTAATTGTTATCCAAGCAATACAATATCTGCCAGTGACGACTGTGTTCGTATTAACGATTGCGAAGACGTAGTATATGTAGCTACAAAGCTCGGTAACTTTGATTCCGTAAACTTTTGCAACAAAACTACGTATACAGTTCACTGTCCGGAAAAGCAAAAGACAATTGTTCCTGAATATAAAAATCGTAAGTATTTAATATAGTCAACTTAACGGGTATAGCGTTAAGTTGACTATTGCGGACAGACGGATAGATCTTAATCGAGTCAGCCGATTATGAATATATATACTATATACATCCCATATTGATTGTTTAATAACTTTTCTTGTGAGTATATATACATATGTATGCATTTGCCAAGGCATAAGTCTCTAGTATTCGAAATACACCTACACCTGAGGATGAATAAATCGAAATTCTATAAAGTGTATATGTAATGTATGGCTCAAGCAGTCGGTACCGCTCGACTGCAGCTTTCTTACTTGTTTCATAATCTATCTACATATATATATTTAGGCCTTTTAGTTTGCGATTATATGTCTACTCGCAGTGGCAGTCGATTAAGTTATTCTTTTATATTTCAGACTGTTTGAAATACGCAAAGATGGATGGCATCTGTCCAACAGAATTGCTTATAAGGAACTCTTCTGTAGCAGCTGAGAACGAATACCCCTTTATGGCATTGGTAGAGGTGAAAAATAAAACTTCAAATTTCACAGTTGTCTGTGGGGGGACATTGATAGATCAAATGTATGTACTAACGGCAGCACATTGTTTCGATATGAGAAGAAACCAGTTAGGATTGTAAGTCAATTATAATTAAAATAATTCTTTTGTATATGTATAATATGTGTATATTGTAAATATTAATAGCCAGATTTCTGTTCGGCTGGGCGCTCATGAAAGAATTTCATCTGGTACACAATATTATGCCACAGAAATTGTACACCCCGACTATAGTGGCGATACAGCAGATATATCTCTATTGAAATTGTCAAAGCCGGCAAATATAACAAATAAGGTAAAGCCTGCTTGCTTATCGGAGAGTCCTTCAAGTGCCAATAAAGAATATCAAGTTGCTGGTTGGGGCTTTGTAAAGCCGAACGAGCTAGCGGATACTCTACGATCGGGAAAGTTGGTTTCTGTGGAAATTAAACATTGTGCAAAACCTGAAGAAGAGCTGAAAGGGGATCAATTCATCTGTACAAAGCCGAAGCAAAACTATGGAGATGTTTGCCCAAATGATTCTGGTAGTCCGTTATTTACTCCACTTTCGGAGTATACTAATTGCTTGTTTGAAATTTTTGGCGTTGTTTCTAGGGGAGACAAGTGTCACTTGAATAATTCATTTACACGTCATACTAGAGTTTTTTATTATCGTGATTGGATTGAGAATACAGTATGGTTAAAAAAATAATAATTACATTTTGTACCAACTTTAAAATGTTCAAATCAGCTTATTGTTAATATCAATTTTATATTTTCACAATTTTCATAAAAAATTTTTTGTATACACATAGCTTTAATGAATTTGATTCTATTATTGACGTTATATATTGTTAAAATTGACTGTTTTAATTGCCTTTATTACATTTAAAAATATTAAACACAACATGTATGTTATCGCTTATCGAATATATATGAGCGGCGTTTTTCAGCACTGACAAGCGAGTATTGCAGCTAACTTAACACCGTAATAAGCAGAATTTGCAGAGAAAATATATATTGAAAAAATTGTGTGTATAGCATGTAAAAACAAAGTTTTGTTTTTGTTCCATCACGATTGCAAATAGATAACGCGCCGCGAAAATCACCAAGCAAAATCCATAAAGAGAATCAAACGCTAGAAAATGTTGCTGCCTGAAAAAGACGTTGCTGTTGACTAATAACAAAAGCGCGCGTGTGTGTATGCGTGTGGATGTGCATGTGTGTGTGTGTATGCGCATGTGTGAGTGTGGAGTGCAGAAATGTTTTCCAGCGTTGGCAGCCATGGAATTAGCGTTGGCATTGCCTCCACCGTGCAGGACACCGATGGCTATGACTTCACAAAGGACGAGAATGCGGCCCGGTGGCGCGGCCTTTTTATACAATCGTTGCGCAAGGTGCTGGAGCAGGTGAATCCGCGCGTAACAGCCAAAGAAGATGCCTTGCTATATGTGGAGCATCTGTGTGTACGCCTGTTGGCCAAGCTGTGCGCCAAACCCTTACCGCATTCAGTGCAGGATGTGGAAGTTAAAGTAATCAAATCATTCCCATCGCCACTCGATCAGCGAGCCCTTAAGGAAATTAACGAGTTAATCAATTCGAAGAAACGCAAATGTCTGCTTCCAACAGAACGTGTACATACGTTGTTGCAGAAGGATGTCCTTCAGTATAAAATTGATAGCTCAGTATCAGCTTATCTAGTTGCTGTGCTGGAGTGTATTTCCTCTGACATATTGAGAACGGCCGCTGACTATGTTTGCCGTATTGCACACAGCGAGATTGTGAAGGAGGACATTGAAGTGGTTTTGAACGCGGATGGCATGATACTAGACATGCTCAATAGTAGCGGGGAGGAGCTCAAATGCAATGTCCTGCCTAGTCCGTTGTCGTTACCGGCGCAGCGAGCAAGTGCTACATATGAGGAGACGGTAAAGGAGCTTATCAATGATGAGAAACAGTATCAAAGGGATTTGCATATGATTATACGTGTCTTTCGTGAAGAGCTGGTGAAGATAGCACGCGATCCAAAGGAACTCGAACCTATATTTTCCAACATTATGGATATATACGAGGTGACTGTGACGCTATTGGGCTCTCTGGAAGATGTTATTGAGATGTCACAGGAGCAGAATGCGCCCTGCGTGGCGAGCTGTTTCGAAGAGCTAGCTGAGGCCGAGGAGTTCGATGTGTATAAGAAGTATGCGCACGATGTAACATCGGCAGCATCACGAGAGGCACTCAGTAATCTGCTGGCCAAACCTGATGCATTGTCCTTAATGTCGGCGGGTCATGGCTTTCGAGAGGCTGTCAAGTATTATTTGCCCAAGCTGCTACTGGTGCCCATTTGCCATGCGTTTGTTTATTTTGATTATATCAAA